ACCCACACCCACACCCACACCCCACACCCACACCCACCCACCCACACCCGTTACTATTTAGCATCAATAAATCCCATTTTTTACGGGCTTTCATTTGGTATAAAATTCATCATATCACCTATTTAAAATTATGGCGTTACCCCCCTGGAATAATATTTTTTCCAACCCTGTACATACAGAGTAGATGTCTTTATTAAAACTAATCAACCATTAAAAGAATAAAACAAGTAACGCTCCTCTATGAGACTCGCTTAATCCGCGACTGAATATTAGAGGTTAGTCATTTTTCGGCACTTCTCTCAAGCCTTGCTCATAGTCGCTTGGTATATTATTGCAGAACATCAAAAAAATCATGGATTATTGTGCATTCGTCTTACGGACTATAAATTTTATTAGAAGATTCTTTTAGTATTACTTCTGCCGATAGAGAAAAATACGTCTTTTTCAGATAAATAACCATTTGAGTTTTTGAGAAACTGACTTCAGATTCGGCCTCCCTGACCCCAAGGGTGTGGGTGGGTGCGAGTGTGAATGTGAATGCGGATGTAAAACTTCATAACTGGTTTCTATACCCACACCCACACCCTATAAGTATAAAAGATTTATCTAGAATCTTTATATACTACCAAAAACAATAAACCGCAAAGCAACACTGCGCAACTACCAACGATAAGGATTTATTTTTCATGCACGAAACAGTTGATAAATTTGATAAAGAAAACACTGAAGCTCTTCATAAATTGATTGCACATTATGAAGCCCTTTTTTAAATATGATGAAATAAAGCGTATAATTTTGTCAACAATTCAATATTTTCAACCAATTATGTGCAACTAAAAAAGTGAATATGAGAGAGATACTAATGTGAATTAGTTATCAATTACAAAAAGCACCATTTCCTTAAATCTTCATGGCAAAAATGAAAGACCTGCGTCATGATTCAGTTCTGCAGCGAATTAAAATGTTTGAATTTTATAACTTTTTAGAGAATGAATAAAATTCGATCACTAAGATCTGACCACCAGGAAAGGAGTTCCAATTTTTTTCAACATAGACAAGTTTACACGTGCATCATTTTTTTGAACGCGTCTTGTGAATTGCTTATAAACGATTACAGGCACAAAATCGTAAAAACGGTTACATAAACAGTAAAACGACATCATCAAATTATTTTTAATTGGATAAGAAGATATGATTTGTATTATAGAGCATTTCGGTTTGTTAATATTCTGATTGATTTCTATTTCTGGCCAAATACTTTCATTTAGTCAACAAATATAGTCATTTTGCATTTTAAATGAGAAAACTATATATTCCGATACATTTCATCCGACAGTTTTATAATACATCTAAAATAATAGATAATTAAAAATATTTCTTTTCAAGACTATTTGATGAAACAGCAATTTATTACGTCAATTAAATAACTCAATAGAATTCTCATACTCATTTTCAGCAAATATCTCATTATCCCATTCACAGTCCGAAACTTGTTGACATTAATTGTAATAAAACATGCTGTACTCTAGCTGAGCATCACATGCACGTATAGCTAGAAACATGCTTAAATTTATCTTATCTATGAAAAGAAGCGATTGAACTGTGTTGGAACGCGTAAGTACAGTCTTAGAGCAATAACAAGAGTATAAAATCAACTCATGTAATCGCATATTGTCGATGGTTTGCATATGATCTCATTCAGCTTTTGATTTCATAAATTATAAACGCATCTAGATGCGAAGCCGGAACCGTTAACGTCGAAACGCTTTTAATAATGAATTAGAACCTATTTGAATGCATCTTATCTAAAAATGACGTTCAAACACTCGCATTAGTTCGAAAAGCGTCTAAATCCTAGTACTATAGACAATTTTCAGTGCATTTTAAGCCTCTTTTGACCGCAGATGCATTTGAACAAAATACGTTTAATAGTTACACAGAAAATGTATGTTGGTTAAAGGTAGAATGAATATTCTTTATTGTAAATAAAAGGAGGCAGTTACTAATTCATAACTACAGAACAACTTCCAAATTTCTTTCATCATTTTGTTCATGTTCATAATTTTTATTTGAACTTCTTGTTGTAGAGTATTTTGCTTCGGGTAATGAATCTTTTTTACATATAAATTGCGATAAATATTCTTTAATATCACGTCTTTCAGTCCATAAAAATAATAATAATGATAGAGCAGTAATAACTGCAAAAGTAACAAACAATCCACTAATTGCTTCGATGTCAAAAGATGTTGATGTTGGCGTTGAATCAGGACAAGTTCCTGTTTTCAACCATTTTTGTTTCAAACTATCAATTCGGCCTGCTTCTCTAAGTGCTAATATACTAACGTCTAAATCTGATGCATATAACCATTCTTTAGGAGTAACAATGGCATAAGAACTTTCAGCAACAGGATCGCCAACTATAGTTAAATTACAATAAATATTATTGAGGGCATATTCCGCCGATGCTTCATCTGACACGAAAACGTCAATAATGCCAGCCAGCAGACTATCGTATAATGCTTTGGTAGAGTGTAATGGATAAAAATTTTGACGTCCTGCAGGTATTACAGTTTTAATATAGTCTTCCATAGCTGTACCGACGTAAACACCAACACGATTTATCGGTACTTTTCCATTTTTAATATCATCTATTCCTGATATAACAAATTGTGATTTCGCTATAGTTAGATCTGATGCTAAATTAGCAGTATATGATGCTACTAATATTAAACATAATATATAGAGACCAGCAGTTAAAAGACGTCCGCCAGCTGTACGTGCATTAAATTCTGAACCGTATCCAACTATATGACCAAAACAATACCATATGCTCAATGTTAATTGAGATATAAATGATCGATTTTGTAAATCTTCATTCTTTCTTCTTTCTATAAGAAGCATTAAAATACTTGCATAAATACAAGTTCCTAGAACTAATATCCATAATCTAGATGAAAATGGTTTTAAGAATGAAAATAAATCGATACCAGCATTGTTTGCTTGTCTTACGACAAAACGTAGAGAATTATCATATATAGGACTAGAAAAGTCAACTATTTTGCTTCTTGCTGAAGTAACAGTAACATCAGCAATGATAATGTCATAAACACTCTCACTTACTGATAGTACAAAATCAGTATATGATTGATCTGGTGGCTTTAATAGAAGAGTTGCATTGAAACCAAGTTGATTTTTTACAAGCTGATAAAGATCAATCGCATAACCAGTATATTGTAATGTAGTTTGTCCGTTATCATCTGTTACATTCTGAACCATTGTAAATGGAGGTGAATCAGCTATTCCTATTCTTAAACTTACACCTCGAAGAACTGCTCGATCAACAGATGGCATTAGCGAATTTCCTGGCCATAAAATAGGATTTTTTGTTATACTTACTCTCCAATACCCAGAGCCAATGTATTCTAATACAGATGCAAACGTCAAACTATTTTCAGATGCTTGAACGTTTTTTAAAATATAATATGAACCATTTATTCGATTTGTAGTATTATTGCTAAATCCCACAAAACCTGATACACCAAGAAAGTTTGTTCTAACAAGTATTGATAATAATGATTCATACTGATTGAAGCGAAAATTAAAACAGAATGAAGATTTATTAAATGATAAACATGATGAAGAAGAATGGTTTATTTTTGATGAACATAATTCTTCTAAGGATTTAATAAGTGCCCATGTTGCATCAAATGAAAATAATGCATAGTAATTAACATTTGTTGATCCAGGAAATGTTTCATTTTCATATGTTTGCCATATATTATATGCTGCATTTAATAATTCAGAATTATATGGTGCACCAACAACTGATGCAACAACTGGTTCGATTAAAAGCATTCCAACTAAATCATCATAATAACTTTCATTGAAAGAATTTAATAAAATCTCTGAAGTAATTATCCATGTAAAAAGTGGACCAACAACATTAGAGTCGAGAGCATTTTGCACTATTGATGATGTGTAGATTGAGTCAGCCCATAAAATCACAATTCTTGATGGACTATTCATTAGATAAGTCTTCAAATCACCACGAATACTTTTTTTGGCAATATCATAAACAATCATTTGTACTACTTTTATATTGCTTGCATTAAATAAATCATTAATAACTTTCGCTCCGCCAGATCCAAATGCATCATCTTGATAAATAATTAAGCATGATTTCCAATTATATCGGTTGAATAAATTAAGCAGGGCTAATGCCATTATATCATCTGATGGAACTGTACGATAAAAATTAGGGTAAGTTGTTGCATCAGATAAATCAGGATTAGTTGCTGAATACGATATAACGGGTAAATTAAGCGTTTCACAAAATGGACTAATTAAAAGAGTTTCTCTTGAAAATTGTGGACCAACAACACTAACTATGTTTGATTCAGATACTGAAAGGCATGCCTTATTTAATGCAAGAATTACATCGCCCATAGTTAGTCCTTCTTTCCATCCGATCAATTTTCCATCTATTGTTATATTATATTGATTAGAAAGTAGTATTGCCGCCTTAAACATCGCCCGAGAATGAATAACTACGTCGCTATTATCAGGTGTATTTGGTCTATAACCAAAAAGGCCGAGTAAGTAGATATCAGATGAATTTGATGATGGCCAAATGGACATAACATTATTGATGTTGAGCTGTACAAGTAAAATATTTAAAAATAAATATCGAAAGTTTAAGAAGAATAACATTGATTAATAATAATGACACAAATAAAGTTGATCGTTTACATATAAGAATAAAGCAAAATCTGTAATAGAATTAAAATAAAATAAAAATGTTTCCATTTTTATTGAAATATTATTTGATAGAGAAAAACTTGATTCAACTGAATACCTTTTTTTAAACGACAAAATATCACTTCAGAAAAAATTTGCAAAACAAACTGAAAGAACAACATTGATGAACTTTTTTTTCATATACAGCAAATAGATTGAACTTAGTTTTTCAAAAATATTTAAGTTTGGCTATTTATTTCCATTTATGTTTTTACTTTCAAGCAAAACATTTTCGGTGAACTTCATGTCTATTTGAATATTGTAATCTTTTTCGTTATTTTTATAATCTTATACTTTTTTTTTCTCTTTTAATAATAAACATTTTCAAAAAAGCCTTTGAACAAGATAACAATATCTAAAATATTATTTTACTTCGAATGATCGTTCTCATGAAAGATTCTCTTAAGCGCAGAGTCAAACATAAATCTATACTTCGATTAAAACTTGCTGGCTCATCAGCTTTGAGAACAAACTGTTCATGTTTAACTTATAAAGATACGGCGTCTTCTTTAAAAACTTCTATTAAATGTTTGTAAATATTTTGGAAAATATACATAAAGATATTTATGAATTTCGAATATTACCTATCAAAAAATCATCTTATAGATAAAGGGTTTATTATAAGAATTTTGGCATTTCAGTAAAGAAGTTTTCAATATGCTCAATAATACAATAAGAGAGTCAAAAACAAAAAGAAAAGAAAAACCTCTATTTGAGGAATGATAAATTTCAGAAATGCTTCTGAACTTAGAAGAACAACAACAAATTATTTTGATCATTTTGATTATAAAATATTTGGCAACTACTTAGGTCAATCAAAAAGTAGTAAGTCTGATCTAATATTTTTGTACACAATAATTAGATAACTTTTGTCTTTTTTACGAACAGCCATAGCATCTTTTCGTCTATCTTTCTATGCTATATGATTATTATTCAACTGATATCAGAATAATAAAATTTTCAGAAGAACTTCTTTTGAAAAACTTCACCTGGTACCAATGGTGCATATTATGATCGATGTATGTTTTCTTTTCATTTTTCTCATTATTTCCCGCTTCTTTCTAGAAAACTTGCTATATTTCTCCCTCTTATTTTTCAATGTTCAGGTCATTCAAGTGTATTTTCTCTTTTCTGTGCTATACATTAGTTTTCTCTTGATAGATTTTTTCATCTCTTTTCTTGAAACTGATATATAATCTTCTGGAATGTCCTTTAGTACCCGATCTTTCTATATACATCGCCTACTTCAGATGAATAGTTTAGTTTTGTGCAGTTTAAGCCTATAATCAATTTACATTAGTATAAGATTCGCAACAGATCACTTAAGAGGGTTCAAACTTTAGCTATATTCATTTGTTGTAGATGAATACAGAAATATTTTTCTTTTATATTAAAGTATTTACAGCATATAAAATCTCAGAAAGAGTGGTATATGATGCTCTATATTCTATGTGTAGTGATCAAATTCTCGCTTTTGGAACAGTTGAAAGATAGACTAGGTGGCTTTGTGAAGGTTGAGAAGAAGCTAAAGATTAAGCAGGATCTGGCAGATCTGTTACCGCAATAACACCCGGAGATATTGAACATACTCATCTTCTTATAGATGATGATCTTTACATTACAATAGAAGAACTGCAAAACCAAATTGGTTGAAGCTAGGGTAGTATTCAACGGATCGTCACTTAAGCCTTAAGAAGATTACCACTTGCTATATATTCAACACTTTGGTCAATTTTTAACGGACTGGAAGTCTTCCATTATGCAAACAAAATTTAGCAAATTTTCAAGAAGGAACATGGTAGTTTTACGATATAATAACTGGTGATGGATAGTAGTTTTATCATAGATGAATTAGTGAAAAATCATTAAATGCCGTATGAGTGAAAAGAAAAAAATCCTTCTATTCATTGTACGAAACGAGGCCAAGCTATCGATTACTAGTGTAATATCATTGATTATTTTTAACCTCTCATTGATAAAACCAAATGTCAAAAACCTTCATATGCCATTGGTCGTATGAAAATTGACCATGATAATGAAAGGCTACGTATTCATAAATATTTGTTTAATTCTCTTGAATCCGGAGTCCTCACAATAATGCCACACGCATCTAATTCTTCTGATTTATCATCATACGACTTTTGGTTATTCTATGTAATAAAGGAGAATCTTATCAAAATGATTTAGAATTATTATACGATGTAGCAAATGAGTTCATATATATTCTACAAAAAAAAAGGAAAATATAAAAACGTTCAAGAAATAAATTAAAAGAAAACAATTGTGTTTAGATAACTGAGATGATTATTTTGAACATTCGATAACATAAACAATCCTTGAACTTGTTTGTATATGTCTTTGTTCTAATACTTACATTATTCTTTGTGCATCGTAAAGTATTTGAACGCCCTAGTTACTAGAAAAGATAAGCAAAGAAAAATAAAAGAAAGAAGAAGAGAAAAATAAAGAAAAAAATGTAAAGAAAACATGCATTGATCATAATATGCACTATTTGTATCAGATAGCTTTGCAAAAGCGAATTCTTATAGAAACTTAACTAAAACAATATCAGTTGAATAGTGTTCAAATGGAATAGAAATATAGAGCAAAACATGCTCTATATGTTAGTAAAAAAGAAGACTTTTCCACGTTTCATGTATGAAAATATGAGATCAGATTCTTTTCTTATGAATCGTCCTAACTATTTAAAGAAAAATAATTACGATAACTAAATTCCAATCGACACTCCTATTTATACTGATTTTCAATCTTCTCTTCTTGATTGCATGAAAAAACAACTTATTCTTTTTGTTTGAATATCAAATCAACTTGCATTTAAATTTCCAAGATTTGTTCGGGCTCTTTGTCACAAGAACTATTATCCATTTCAAATTAAAAGAAGGGTGAGTATTTTTTGAATAACTTCTGATAGAAACTATATGGAGAGATGCAGTTTTCACCTTTTGAAATAGGAAAGAAAACTGCATCAAATCTTGAACATCAGATTTTTCTGACAAGTTTTTTTTAGGGCTTCCGTCACATTTTTGAAGCAGAAAAAAATGTCTCGTGTGAAATTTTTAGAATTGTAAGTATGATTTATGAACCAAAATCGACTGCTAAAGTTGAATAACCTGTACAAATCTGGCATTGAAATGTTAAACCAGTCAACAGTTTTTAACAATTTAATACACGCTTTTGACAGATTTTTCATCAAAAAGTCACTTTTTTAAAATTTTTTCACGAGAAATTGACGTTTTAAACCTGTTAAAAAGCCTCCTTTTTTTAAAAACTCGGCGGATGTCCCTGAGAAAACTTGTCAGAAAAATCTGATATTCAAGATTCGATGCATTTTTTTCCTCTTTCAAGCGGTGAAAACCGCATCTCTCTATCTAGTTTCCATCAAAAGTTATTCCAAAAATACTCACTCTTCTTTTTATTTGAAATGGATATTAGCTCTAAACCACAGTTCAGATGCTAACAGATTAGTCAATTCTAAAAAACTTGCTTTGTAGCAAACAAATTAAATACAATTGTATTTGAAAAAAAGCCTTTTGTATTTATTTTTGTTTGGAATTTGTTTGATTTGGTACACTGCTACTCAAAAAAGAACTTTTACTCGGAAAAATTATCTTACTATTAGTGGGGTATCCCGGATTTTTTCGTATGCTCGATTTCATGTTTAGAGCATGGGATCCAGGTGAAACTTATAGAGGTATGATATTGGACTCAAATGATGAGTTTTTATTGAAAGATATTTGCAATAGGAGTTTGCGAAAAAAATTAGCATTTTCCTGACCCCCCCCCCCCCCCCCAAGATTTTTCTTTTATTATTTGTAGTGCTCCATTTTTTAGAATATAGTAGTAAGCTACATCAAAAATCATCGATAGATTTCAAATTTCATGTAAAGATATGCAACCGTTCAAGAGCTATAACGTTTTGAATTTTTGTTACGTACTGCAAAAAATTTAGCGAACCTCCAAAACGTTATAACTCTTGAACGGTTGCATATTTTCACATGAAATTTGAAATCTATCGATGATTTTTGATGTAGCTTACTAGTAAATTCTAAAAAATGGAGCACTACAAATAGTAAAAGAAAAATCTTGGGGGGCTCAGGAAAATGCTAATTTTTTTCGCAAACTCCTATTGCGAAAATTTTTCAATAAAAACTCATCATTTGAGTCCAATATTATACCTCTATAAGTTTCATCTAGATCCCATGCTCTACACATGAAATCGAGCATACGAAAAAATCCTGGATACGCCACTACTTACTATCAGTAATGAATCAGTACGTTAGTTGCGGCGCTAGTGAAAGAAGTTTTGACAGACTTATATTCTCTTCATTCTACCAATATTCTTTTGAAAAACTATTTGCTTTAACAACGCTTGTCATATTTACAATATACTTCGATCAACATTTCGGGTTCAGAGCTGTTTACTTGATTTCTAAATACAAGGGGAAAAGGGTATTAAAAGAATTATTATACTCACTAATAAATTTTAAAACTTGAAATGAATAAATCTACTTTGAGGTTTTTGAAGTTGAAATACAACCTCTAAATCATCCCTATAACATACCTATCATATTGTATAACGAAACAATCACTTCAACTTATAGTCTAAAAATACCCAACATTTCTCTCGTCTTTTCTTTGCATTATTTTTCGGATACACACAAACTTACAATATATCACATCTGTCGTAATTAGTGACACATTGTACAATAAGACATGCTCCTTCCGACACATTTTCATTTTTTTTTTGAGAAAAGTAAATCTCAAATTTTTCTAATTTTATTTAATTTCATTATTCATATTCTCAAGAAGTCAGATAGCGTAGATCCTGAGATCTGTCTGATCTCGAGCTGTTTCAATTCGCATCGGATCTTTCCAAGGGAATGCTCTCTCGG